GAGTTGGCCTCTAGTGTTGTACGCCACATCCCCATTGAGTTCCTGATGAAGGCTCTTAGGGTCCCATTGATCTTGTACAATTCTAGGCATTCCAGTATCCAGCTGTGGGGCATTGAGTCATAGGCCTTCTTGTAATCAATCCAGGCAGTGCACAGGTTGGTCAGTCTGGTCTTGCAGTCTCGGCTGATTGTTCTGTCTACCAGTAGCTGGTGTTTTGCGCCTCTGGTATTCTTGCCAATTCCTTTCTGTGTCCCGCTCATGTATTGACCCATGTGCCTGTTCATCTTAGCCGATATGATGCCTGACAGGAGCTTCCATGTAGTACTGAGGCAGGTTATTGGTCGGTAGTTGAAGGGGACCGGTCCCTTCTTGGGGTCCTTGGGGATCAGGACCGTCCGACCTTCGGTTAGCCATTCCGGGTGTCTCTCGTTAACTAGCAGCTGGTTCATTTGTGCTGCCAGGAACTCGTGGAGTGCAGTCAGCTTCTTCAGCCAGTAGGCGGGAACCATGTCGGGCCCTGGTGCTGTCCAACTCTTCATACTGGAGACCCTTTCTTGGATATCTGCCACCGTGATGGTTACTGGACCCTGTTCAGGGAGGTCGCTGTGGTCAGCCCTCAGATCCTCTAGCCAGTGAGCATTGCCGTTATGGGTTGCATCCTTCTCCCATATGCTCTTCCAGTATTGCTCTGTCTCCAGCCTCAGTGGTGCTGTTCTCATATTGTTCACCTGCCACTGAGAGTACACCTTGGCTGGTTCTGTGGAGAACCGCTCGTTTATTCTCCTGCCTTCTATCTCTCTGGTGTACCTCCTCAAGCATCTAGCCAAGGCTGTGAGTCTTTGCTTGGCAGTTTCCAAGGCCTCAGGTATGGACAGCTTGCTATACTTCTTAGGTACCTTCTTTGTTGCACCTTTCTCCTTCTCCATTGAGGGTATTGCTCCTTGTGGCTGTTCAACTTATACCCCAGCATCTCACTGATCACATAAGAGCATAAGAGCCAAGTTGAGCACACAGCCCTGTGGCGTGGCCATGTTCAGGATCCGTGTGGAAGATGTCCAGCTCCCCATTCTCACCACCTAAAGCCTGTTGAAGAGAAAGTCTCTGATCCAGTGGCACAACTGTGTCGACAAACCCAGGTTACGAAGCTTTACAGCCAGCTGAACTGGGCTCACCATGATGAAAGCCAAGCTTAAGTCAACAAATAGCATCCTAAAATGAGAGTTGTGTTCAGGGTGGGTCAGGGCTTAATGCAGGGCTAATGCGACCACATCCTCTGTTGAACGGTTCCACATGTGTGCAAACTGATGTCTGTCCAGACCAACAGGAATGACGTCCTTGATCCCCAAATGTTGATTCTGTTCATCTGGACGTAGCGTTTTCAGTGGGTCGCTTTGTCACTCATCCAAGCAGTAGCGGTTTTTGATAGTGGCGACATGGGCGGTTGCCCAGGGCGGCATCGCGGTGAGGGTGGTATCACGGGCATCTCCAAAAAGAAGTTGCTCGTACTCATGCTGCCCCAACATCAGCCAGCGCATTTTGAAGTTGGCATAGGCACCGGTCGGTTTTCTGCCGCCCATTTGCTGGGTGTAAGGGCGCCCTCCGTTTGCGAGGTGCGCCTGCTGCTTGCGGCACAGGGAGGAGAGGGTGGGGCGACGGGGGATTCTCTGGCTGGAGCAGCAGCTAATAACCAACTCGCAAAATAAAACAAAATAAAAACAAACCAACAATCACAAAACCACCAGATGTTATGATACAGAGTTATGATTTGCACCAATGTTTTTTTAAATTCTATAAAGTGAGCGCGAGAGCCCTCGGTGCGCCTGCTCGCTGCTGTGGTGAAGTCAAAGTAAACACTATTGTCATCTCCGCTACATTCAGTCCAGTTTATAGAGAGATGAGACGACCAGTTACAGTAGTGCAAGTAAACAAACAATAAATATAAGAAGAGTAAGAAAATAAATATACACTTTAGGACTCGGGGTAAAGGGATCAATAACAATTTAAAATTTACATTTTGATGATTTAAAGTCTCACACACAACCTGTCAAAAGGGGAGGGGTCAGCTGCTTCCAAATAGAGCACATTTCATTCATAATGTTTTAAATCCAAGCCCATTATGTATTCCTGATTTGAATCCTGGGTTAGGTTATGTTGTGGTGATCCTCGGGTTGGGGGATGGGTGCAAAATTAAAACCAATGGAAGGTGGACAAGACAAGTTTAAAGCCATCAGGTCTTCAGTTTAGAAAAACAAGAAAAAAAGAGGAGGGGAAACGAGCAAAAGATACAGGTAAGCAGATGTGTGATTGGATAATGGCAGGTTATCCTGGAACAATCAGAATCAGAATACTTTATTAATCCCTAAGGAAATTATGTGGGTTACAGTTGGTCCAAGAAGAAATTCTAAAAATAGTAACAGTAACAGACTAAACTTTGTTTGTTAGCCACTTGGCTATGATAGTAAACCGTAGAAACTGATGTAGCTTACTGAATCTTTTGGACTGTGTTCAGCACAATATTCACCCTCTGGAGTCCAGGGTATAATTGGCTGTTTTTGACTACTTTTGATTTTACCTCTATATTTCACCTTTAAAATATGTTTTTCTTGCCTTGTTTGGTATCATTATTTTCAGCACAACCTCAAATATCTGAAATTTGAGTTATTTTTTCATTTTGGCATACTATATTATATTATATTATATTATTATATATACACAATTGATCTAAATTCAGACAAAAAAATTCAAAATCCGAGTAGAAAAAGGTTGTATTTTTTACTGTAAAACCCACAAACATGTTTAACAAATCATTTTCATAACTTGAAATGCAAATAGAAATTGTACACTTCTAAAGATATGCACAAATTTTGCAAACAACAAAGTTATATGGTACTATTTACCTAAAAATGTGTGAATGGGTGGATGACTGGATATGTAGAGCGCTTTGGGGTCCTTAGGGACTAGTAAAGCGCTATATAAATACAGGCCATTTACCATTTAAAAATGCAGCCATGTCCTCAGGCGTTTTTTTATATAACCATTTAAATCTATTTACAGAACAATCAGCTGTGCTGCATCAAATAAGAAGGCACACAAATTATTTGTGCCAGTCCAAAAAAATAGTTTGTGTTCAGTATAAGACAGAAGATAACAGCACAGGCCTAAACCCTGCAGGTCTGACAGCAGGAGGTGCATCAGTCCAGTTTTCCATGTGGGAACAGCGTTTACACTGGAATCTGCCTTTTATGGCTTTTTTGGGGCAAATATGAATTTCAGCAGTCTCACTGACACACAATACAAAACAATAACTACACAACACACTAACTACAGCCTTCAAACACGCTAAACGTCACTAATGTCTCACATATGAAAACTTGCTCTCTCTCTTTTTTTCGCTCGCCCGCTTTCCGTTGCGGGTGTCACTCCTAAAAACTTCCCCTTCTGCCTAAACAACAAGTGACACATGTTGCCATATCATTTTTTTGATTGGCTGACATGTTAAAATCTAGCACAAATAGGGAAGGGGTGTTATTTCTTTTTCTTTTTTCTGTCATGGTCCTGAGTCCTTACTCAGTGATTTTGTGTTTAGTGTATTTATTGATGTTATTATTATTATTATTATTATTTATGGGCTGTTTTGTGTTTTGGGGTTTTGGATGCTGGGTTCCTGGGTTTGTGCTCCCCCTGTTGGTCCCTGGTGTTAGTGTTCCCCTGTCTCGTCAGGTTAATCAGGCCCAGCTGTGTCTCCCACCTGTGTGTGATTTCCCAGTGTGTCTCTGTGTATTTATAGTGTGTGTCTGCCTCTGTTCCTCGTCGCGTCGTCTGTGTTCATCCTCTGTGTCACCCTGTGTTTCTGCCTTGCTCCGCGAACCTCTCCATGTCTCCACTATGTGCTCCCCTGCAGTTCTCTTCTCATGTTTCAGGTTTGACGTTCTATAGTTTAGTTTTCCCAGTTTAGTTTATCCTTAGTTTTGTTTTGCCATCCCCACTTTGTGTTCTGTCTTCTATAATAAATCACCCTGCTCCTCAAGTAAGTGCTGCATTCGAGTCCTCCTTCTCCACACTTCATACAGCTGCAGCCCCAGTCGTGACATTTTCACTCGCAAGCGGAGAGTGTTTGCTAGCGCTGTCCGTAGAAAACGTCATTTTTACTGTTGTTCCCGCTGTAAACACCACTGTTTTGTTCAGAAAAAAACATTGTGTGTATTTTTTAGCATAACTCTGGTTTTACGTGGCCCATCGACACAATTCAAAAACTGGCGTATAGTTTGAAGACCGCAGTTTCGACCCAAGTTGAAATGGAGACTCTGAGTCGCTGCATCTTGTAGCTGTGTTGTCTTAAATTGGTCATGTGATTTTGATGCACCGGCGCGTCCGTCGACCCCAGAGGTTAATTAGCCATTGTCAGTTGTTTATTTGTTAAAATAACAGTTTTTACAGTAAAATATGTTAATGTACAATCCTTAATATATTTTATGTGTGGGTGTGGGGTGGGGTAGAGAGTACAGGGGACGGGGTGGGGAGGCACCAGAGGGGGTGTTCGCCCAGGGCACCAAACAGGCTAGGACCGCCACTGCATCCAAGTGACTTCTTCAGTCTCAGCTGACTGCAGGTTTCCCCATTCTTATAAACATACATTTGCATAATGAGTGAAACCAGCCCACTGAATAAACAATGGGCTGGGAGGTGTTGAGGTTTAAATTTTTATCTTAAATGTTTATATGCTGATTATATTGCTTAATATGAGAAAGGCTTAACTCTGAGTACACGCTGTGCCAAAAAAGTGCTGACAGGAAACTGCATGCTTTTGCAGAAGCGTGCTTTTACAGCTAGGAAGTGAAACCAGCTAGACTGTTTGAATTTTCTAAATTATATTCTATATTGTGTCACTTACACAAACCTGTGTGTGTGGCTTTACTAAATTATTTTCAGTATATTACACAAAGTGAGAATGAAATTAGGAAAACAGGTGAGACTGATTGCTGCTCAGGATATCTATTTATTCATGTTTATTGTGATAGGAAATCATATTGATCAATACCCTCCAGCAGTGATGTCATCGAGGCTTGACATCCTGCTGGAAGTGACATCAGCAGTGAGGCTGTGACATCATCATGTCAGACGTGTCAGGACACGAAGGAGCAGTTATGGACCTCTGACACAAACAAACCCTCTCTGTGAGTTACATCCTGAGTCGTTGACATAATCTCGTCCTGTAAAGAATCAAAACAAAGAAATAAAATCAGAGGTCTGTGCAGTAAATGTTTTCTTCTTCTCTAATGTAAAAAGAACAAACACAGTTCTTATAAAGACCTAAGATCACATGACTTCAGTCAATATAAAAACCAAACACATTTCATCAACAGGCCCACTTTCAGTTTGTACCATTAAAGTTTATCTCCATACAATCTTGACCTCCTCCAGAGTTGTCAGGTTCTCCATTACCCCAGTTTTTGAAGTCAAACTGGGAACCATCACTCCACTTCCACACAGTTTCCTGGAAGAATAAAGTTCAGTTTGTTCTGATGTACTTTGATGCATCTATGCTGAGAGTGCAGACATGAGACCTCTTACACCACTCGAACACAACGAAGGTTCATTTTGTTTGTGCAGGTAAAAAATGAAAAGAAAAGTCAAGTCAACAGCAACATCTGTCTCCAGGAACAAAGTCCTGATTAATCAGTCTGTCACATGTTGACCTTTGAATCAAACTGATGAATATGAAGAGAAACATATGAAATATCAGAAACAGCTGCAGCTCATCCTCTTTATCTGTGAAACACTTACAGTCTCTCTGTCGTTGCCTCCAACCCAAGCTGTCGGATACGACCCTGCTGCTGTGCGAGTGAGCTCTCTGATGAAGGTGTACTCAGCTGTGCTGTGGTATGAGGCCAGATTTCCACCGAGTGTCTGACAGGAACTCTGAGGAGGAAGATGAGGTGCACAGAAGATGAAAAGTGTGAGAATGCATTTAAAATCAAAGATAAAGTGAGTTTGATGAAGGCAGCAAAGAGAGAGCTGATGAATAGAAGAGACACGAGGAGGGAATGTTTGCTCTGAATTCTGAACATCACTGCATGAACATTACTGCACTGCATGTATCAGCATGAAGCTGTTAGTGCAGGGCTGTGACGCCGCAGCAATAATCAGCTAAGAACAGAAGTCCTGTGTATTTACTCATGCACTTCCAACTGTGTGTGAATATGAATATAAAGCAAGTCTTCTTTCACTGAATGATTCTCACAGCAGGAAGCTTTTTATATGTCCCACATATAACATGTACACATACAGCTGCTGTTATTTCTGATGTACCTTAGCATCAGTCCAGTTCTTCTGACTGCTATCAAAGATGAAACAGCGACTTCCAAACCAAGTCCAACCAGCAGGGCAGGAAGGAGCTGCAAAATAATTGTAAAGGTAGAAGGTCGATAATCAGATTAATAATTCCTCAAAAGACAAAGAAAATACCTAGCCGTGTTCCACTACTGAGTCTATTTGAATTTAAGCTGATGAGGTTCATTTGACATTATTCCTTCTGCGATACCTGGTTACAGACTCAGCACTCTATGCCTTCATAGCCACCTTGGATGACTTCCACTACATCACTTTGAATGCTATACTTCCAACTTTCACACAGTATGTCGTCTGTTTTACCAGCTGAGAGAGAACTTGTTATGAGGCAACAGGCAGATACGTTGTGAGCCCCACAGGACACTGAGTGTATCAGTGATTACATAACCATCTGCTCAGACTCCATTATCTCAGCTCGGACTATACATTGTTATTCGGATAACAAGCCGTGGGTGAAAGAACATCACAGCTCTCCTCAACGATAAAAAGAGGGCCACAGAGAGGAGGTGGAAAGGGTTTCGTTTTTATTGAAGGGCACGATCAGAGAGGCTATGGACAGTTGCAGGAGAAAGCTGGAGTGGGAACTCCAGCAGAACAACATGAGAAAGCTCTGGAGTGGCATGAAGATATGTCTTTGTAGGTTCTCAGTCACCCAGGTCACGGTAGTCTAAGGAGCTTGAAAAGTCCTGAAAAGCGTCACTGGACTCACGCCATTCAAAAGCAGAGCTGAGGGCCAACAGGTTGAATTTGTTCTTCTACAGATTTGACACTGCAGCTAACGCTCACCCCCCGACTGACTTAACTGTAGTCAGCCTACAGTCCAAAGCCACACCACTCTCTCTCCCTCTTTCTCCTCATTGCACCTGAGCATACTGTGAAAGTCCTGACACTCCTGCTCCACCTGTAACTTTTACCTAGGACCAGGTTCAGAGACAAATGAACGACTCCACTAAAAAAGCCTGAAAGACCAGACAGGGCGGGTCCCGGTGTCCTCGAGGCCTGTGCACCAGTGCTGTGGAAGACGTCATCGCTCTTTCCTGTACCAAACACGCTCAGTCGTGTCTACGCCCACCTGGACCAACCGGTGAGCACTGGGAGGGTCGTGTTTTTTGACTATCCAGTGCATTCAACACCATCAGGCCGACCCTCCTGGGTGATAAACTGATAGTGATGCAGGTAGATGCCTCTGCGGTGTCCTGGATTGTTGATTACCTGACAGGAAGACCACAATATGTGCGTCTTCAACACTTTGTGTCTGACAATGTGATCAGGAACACAGAGGCAACACAAGGGACCATGCTCTCCCCTCTTCACTTTCTACACCACAGACTTCAGCCACTGCACAGAGACCTCCATCTTCAGAAGGTTGCTGATGACTCTGCAGCGGTTGGATGCATCAGTGAGAGTGATGAGATGGAGTACCAGGCTGTGGTCGACTCCTCTGTCACATGGTGCGAGCAGAATCATCTGCAGCTCAGTGTGACAAAAGCCCTGATTGTGGACTTTAGGAGGACCAGGAAAGCTGCGACCTGTGTTTCAAACCAGGGGGTCAACGTGGACACGGTGAAGGACTATAAATACCTCAGAGTACACATTAAATAAACTAGACTGGGTACTCTACAGTAAGGCCAGAGATATCTGTATTTTCTGCGTCTTTTAGCGTGTTTTGGACAGTGCTCAGGATTTTCTATCAGTCTGTTGTGGCCAGTCCTGTCCTCTATGCTCTTGCATGCTGGGACAACAGGTTGAGGTTCACAGATGCTAACAGACTAAATAAACTGATCTGCAAGGCCAGTAATGTTGTGGGGATGGAGCCGGACTCCCTTAAGGTGGTGTCTGAGACGTGGATGTTGTCCAAGAGAAGGACGATGTTGGACGACACCTCCCACCCACTCCACGACATGCTGGCCAGTTAAAGAGCCAGCACGGAAGCCCACACGCAGAATAGGTGAGAACAATACCAGGAACTCAGGGAAACCGACTGGATGATGAGGATGATTAGAAACCGGTAAGAACACAGCTGAACTAACTAATGAGAAACTGGGAAGTAGAAATGAACAAAGTACACACAGACAAAAGGCTAACACAATAAAACAGGAAACCAACATGAAAACTAAACACTGACAGAAGACCAAACTGAAAACGCTGGGTCAGCGGCCCAGGAACCCTGACAGTGGCGCTGTAACATAGTAACTGGATGGCTCTGTTTTTTAATCAGCTTATAACAACACATTATAAATAAACTGTGACAACATTCCTCATAACACACCTGGTTATGAGGAATCCATAATCCAGTTATTTGAGCAGAACTTATTGAGATACGCCTGCACCAATCCATCGATGTGCGTCATTAAATGTAGAACATCCTGATGGTGTTGCTTTACAGGGCGCACACAGCTGAAAACGTTAAACTGTGACTGTCACCAGTTAACATGGGCGTGTTTCTTAAATCAGCAGCAGGTGTTCAACAGCTGACGGAGTGAACATGTCACGTCCCCGTGTCTACCCAGCCGGCCCCGCAAGGCTACATGTGTATTGTTTCTCTCTCACTCTCTCCTCACCGCTCTGCCTGGGCGGAGCTCACTGTGGGCTCCCACCCTTGGCCCACACACCTGTTTGCAATTAAGCTGCCATTATCTTCCCACCATTTAAGGCCGGGACGCTGTGCTTCTGGTCGCTGGATGATTGTGCGAGACACGTTAGTGATTCTCTCAGCTCCGTGAATTTGTGCTTGTTTTTCAGACTGTGAGTAATTTTCCTCTCCTGTGTGACAGTTGTGTGACTTCCCCACTATATGGACGTGTGAGTTTCCCCTTGGACCCACGGATCCCCAGATTGTCCCCTTTCACCAGGCACGTGCAGAGGGGGGGCGGGAGGGGCTTGAGCACCCCCCCTTTCCTGATGGGTGCCCAAAGTGCCCTTTTGTTTGTAATGTTTGTGTGCGTGCGGAGTCCTGTCTGTGCCCCTCAACAATAATGTTTAACTATTAATCCCATTTTTACTAAATAAAAGGATCTGGCTTGCATCAGACCTGGGCGGTCCAGAGCTGTAGGAGAAACTACAAATTAACTCAGAGAGGCAGACTGATGCAGCAAAACCATGAAGTATGGTGAACAGCGTACACTGTACTCTATAGCACCCAGGAGTATTAGCTTATTATGTACACGTTGGTCAGTTGTCTTGTGGCAACTGACGAATTGAAACAAATGAGCGTAACAATGCGACAAACATTACCTGTCCTCTTATTAACTGCACAAGTAGTGCTGGTCATAGCTACTGGCTGACTGGGTAAGGCTGTCATGGGTCTGTAGCTCTGTCACCGTTTTAGGGAACATACTTAGTTTTAAACACGGGCGTTTTTAGCTCATATATAGCCCAAAGGAATCAAAGCACCCCAAAGATGTCTTACTTTTTTTGACAATATTTGCTGTTTGTGTGACACACTACTAAAAATAGAAAAACCATACAGTACTTGGTTGAGACGTAATATTCTAAAGACAAACGTATAGATCCCCCCCCAAAAAAATGGTTTGTTCCAGCTCGCCTCTCCCCTGCTCTGCTCTAGCGCCCTTTCTGCCAGAGAGATGGTGGCTGAGACGCAGCAGAGCGGAGGTGTGAGCGCCTGGCTTAACCTTCAGTTACTCTTTATATAGTTAGATAGGAGTCAGACCATGTTTCAGTAAAGCATTACACCAGGTAACCTGCAGTGTTGAAAACGTGTTTTCCGACGATGTTTGCTACCCTACAATCAGAGCTGGACTGGCCATCCGGTATGCCCGATGGGGATTTTTCGTTTTTATGGGCCGATGGGTGGTTTTTTTTGTTTGTTTTTTTGTTGTAACAGTATAAACAATGAAAGCTGGTGGATTGGCAGATTTGTAAAAATAACTCAGTTGTTTGGTGGTGGCTGTGGCAGAGCTTCCACCAGGTGGATGAGGGAAGGGGAGGCAGGAGGAGGAGAGACCCGAGGAGGCCGCCGGTCCGAGTGTCAGGTGAACTGAACTTCAGGTAAGAAGTTATGACCTGCAGTCTATCTGGGTCAGATATAAACCAAGTTTAGGTGGAGTTTATTTTAGCTGTGCTGACTTTTTACAGTCAGTTACAATAACTCGTACTAGCTAGCATGACGGGGTTTCTATACAGCTGGGTGGGTGCTATGATGTTACTGATAGTGAACTTTATTTTGTTCATAAGGTTAGTTAGTAGAGTTGCCAATCGTCTCGCATTCAGAGGAAATATTACATGTTTCGTATTGAGGTGAAAAGGAACAGTTTGTCCCGGACTTCAGCTCGAATGGAAAAAGACACAAAGCTGGAGTTATTCTGTTACACTGCACAGCTTCTCCTCTCATTCTCCCTCTCTCTCCTGTTGCTACTTCAGTCATGAAACTGATCAATGATCAGCTAATCGGCTTTTCTCTCTTGTTTGTTTATCGCCCACTTTGTGCCAGAAAGAGGAAACCAGCGGATGTCACGCTAAACAACAGCAGCACGTTTAAGCTTGATCAGCTGTTGTTAGAATGTATTTAATATTAATTTCTAGTATCAGCTGATGTTTGCTGGAGCCACAGCTGTAAAGCTGCTGGTCATGGGCCCGAGGAGCCCGTCCAGCCTCAAGTGTCGTCAGCTGGAGGGTCCGAGGAGCCCATCCAGCACCACGCCTCGTTAACTGAGGGTCCTGGAGGACCCAGCCAGCACATCCTCACATCTGCTGATGGTCCGGGGAAGTCTGTTCAGCTGTCGTCTGCTGAGTCATCCCCCGCGACTTCTACATCATCACCATTCGCATCACTGCCTGCAGCCGTCCCGCTGCCGCCAGGTCCAGCCTCCGTGTCTTCATCCACGCCTGGTCCAGCCTCACCTGGTCCGGCCTCGTCTGGTCCTGCGGTTACCACACCGCCGTCAGAGCCAGCTCGACCCGTTCCGCCTCGCCTCTGCCGGCCGTTTTCCGGGCCTCTAAGTTGGCATCATGGCCTTCGGGGACGGCCTCCGGAAAGCGTTCGTCGCCGCCGCTGGCATCGCGGCCGACCTCCGGACCTGCTCAGTGGCCGCCACTACCTTCAAAGTGGTCGGCCTCCTGATTGGTTTTGCCTCCGTTGCCATGTGCACGGTTGGCCTCCCGAACTGTTTGCCCGTCGCCGCCGTTGCCGTGTGCACGGTCGGCCCCCTGAACTTTTTGTGGACTCTTGTTGAGCTCTGGTTTTTGTTTTTGATGTGCTTTCCTGCGTTTTTGGACTCTGGTGCTCCTTGTCTTTTGTTTGGTCTCTGTCCCTCTATCCTGGCCTGGTGCTTTGTGCTTTTTTTGTTTGGGCTGTCGGGAGCCAGCCCTTGGAGGGGGGGGGGGGGACTGTCACGGTTCTGGGTCCGTTGGACCCAGTATTTTGAGTTTATTATGTTTTGGTGTAATTTTGCATCATGGATTGTTTTCTTGTTCTCTTGTGGTTGTGATGATTATTATTATTATTAGAGTTTCATGTTTCTGTTATCCATTTTTTAGGAATTGTGGTTTCATGTATAGTTCAGTTCCATGTGTCATTTTCTGTCTCTCTGTGTTGAGTCCGTGTCTCTGAGTTGTGATTCATGTTTCCTGTTTTATTGTGAAAGTCTGTCTTATGTTAGTGTGTGCAGCTTTGTTTCCCCCGTCTCGTTAGCCCTGATCTCCCCCAGCTGTGTCCCCCTTCTGTGGCCCATTCCCTCATTACTACCCTGTGTATTTAAGCCCTGTGTTTTCCCATGCTCGGTGTCGCGTCGTACCTTCAGGTTATGCCTGTGTGTTCCTGGTCTCCGGTTTCAGTAGTCACTTCACGTTTGGTTTTCATGTCAGCAATAAAGCTAAGGTTCTGATTCACAATTCTGTGTTCGAGTCCTGCGCTTGGATCCTCCTCTCCGCCTGCCCGCACACAGAGCCCTGACATAGTGTCGTCATGCGTTTTATTCAAACGCTGCTCCCAGTGAGGTTTCTGCTGCGGGCCTGTTTTTAGTGGCAAATCTGGGAGAAACAGTTGCATTTCTATCGTGATGACAGAGCTGAGCGTTAAACGAAGCAATGAGGCACAAAACGTGTCAGGACTTTTTTATAATTGAGTTATTCACTCGATGAGTAATATTGTGGCGAGTACAAGCTCGTCCAGATGAACAGAATCAACTTTGTGATGTTTTCTTCGTCTTTGTTATTGTCATTTTCTGTTTTTCATCTAATCTTTTTCTTTCTGTCTCCACATTATAATGTTTTCTGTCCTGCTTGATTTTCTGTTCGACTTATGCAAAAGTACCTTTTGTTCGTTCAAATGACTTTGTAAACACTTTTTGAATTCTGTTTTTAAATGTCAGCTAATTTTAATTTTAAATGTCACTTTGATTGGTTTTATTTTTATTTTATCATTATTTTATAATATTTGTATTTATTTGATGATTAAATCACGAGGTGTTCACTCAGGATCTAAAACAAACTGACGAAATCTTCGTGACTGATGATTTTCTGATGATTCTTTTCAGCACAGAAAGGTTCATCTTTTAAAAATGATGAAGAATTTTCATTTTCATTCACTTCAAAAACAAGTCTGAATGTACCGACCCTAAAAGATTTTCTTTAGAAGTTTATTATTTGAGTTACTTACCCTTACAAGTGTAAAACACCTCCAGGTACTTATAAATGCCATAACACGGGTCTTCTGAGCTCTTTGCTTCAACAGTACAGCTGTTTTTCCCATTACAGCTGTGAACGCAGGTCAAAGGTGAATCAGCAAAAATTCACTGCATCATCTGAGAGAAGATGGAGAGCTGAAGAAACAGAGTCAGCATCTGTACCTGGTAGTTACATAGTCCATGCTTCCTGGCCAGAAGCAGTTAACATTTTGGATCTGAGAGACAGGACGTCCATCAGAGCACGTGGTCGTGTCACGGCGACCATAATAAGCCCAGGAGACGACTATAACCTGTCCTTCATCTGAGGAAGAGTTCATAGAGTCAAACTGTAACCATGGTGATATTTTTACTGCAGGAAACGTACAAAGACATAGAAGCTGTGTTCTCACCACACTGAAGGTTTGCCTGAGATGCTTCACATGTTACACTTTGGCCTGAAACAGACACAGATCCCATAGAAACTGTAATCATTCATGTACAGATTGGGTTCATCAGTCATTTCTAATCACAGGTTTAACAGACTCGTTACGTGGGAAGCAGTCGTAGGTGGTCTCCAGGTATTTGCAGACTCCAGGATCATAAGTAATGTTTGACTTTATGTCACACTCGGTTTTTCCATCACAGCTGCAGGGAGACAGAAACAGCTGGTTTTCAGCTCAAAGATATGAAACAAGTTACTTTCAGGTAATCATTTACTTCCTGTTAGTTTGAGTAAAGCTGTTCAACAGGTTTTAGTTTGTTTCTTCTTTTGAATCAAAGGCTCACTTCTACCATCCCACAGTGCTCACCTGTTCCTCACGTTGTTCACAGCGTCACCGTGAGAGCAGATTACTTCACCTCCACATCTGTACTCAGCTGACCTCACAATGATCATTCCACCCACTGTTATACAGACACAGTATGAGAGAAAAGGAACAACTCAACACAACATGCAATAATCCAGGTTTCAGGCTTCAGTTTCAGACTCAGATGCTGCAGATCCATAAATAATGAGGATTGTACCTCTGTACACCACCACAGTGGATATTACATTAACTCTGATCAAGGAGGAAACTTTAAGTCAGTGTTTTTGTTTCTAATCTACATCAAATGTTTCTGAACTTTTATACACAGTCCAACATCCTCAGAGCTTTTTTAAAGAATAAATGCACTGTTGGTTTGTTGATCAGGAAAATACAATTTAAACTGAAAAGAAGCAGCTGTGCATAAAAAGGCTGTAAACTATAAACAGTTCATCCAATACTTGTTAAGTTTGTTGAATTTAGCCTGAGAGTCTGAATTTGATCTGCAGTGAATTCTTGGACACTATTTTCCATCTTACCACAGCTCAGGCGAGGAACACTGAGGCCGTTAGAGGTGACCACTCTCCCTGTGGATATGGGGGTCACAGGAGGAGGAACTTGAGCTCTGATAAAGCCTGAAATAAAAAATAAATTGTACATTTCTGATAAATTAATGGGGAATGTGTTGATCATTTTCTTGCTGAAGGTGAAGCTACAGCTGGTCCCTCATCTTACTTTAGTTTTCCCTGATGGATGTGAAACACGGTTAGTGTCAGCGAAGCTTACAGTAACCTCTGTCTGCTGAAGCTGCTGGCTGATTTAGCTCCAGGGTGGACAACAAAGATCACATTTTGTAAAGAGGGCAGAGACATAATATCTATCATGTTATTATCTATCTATATTCAACATTGCATCAATACATTTGTCAAAAAATGTCTCTCTGAGCAAAATGGGTTCAAAAACATAAACAGCTGTGGGATCCTGTTAGTCCGTGATTTGAACCGGGGAACAAATCGTGGCAGGATCAGCCTGATGTTATTTGTATCCTGCTGTAACTTTACTGTATAAAGAGCTAACATCTCCAACATGTCAGGAGCAGTTAGTCATTACAACAAGTGTTTGAACTAAAGATCAAGAATGTGGGATCCTGTTTGTCCGTGATTTGAAGAGCCCAGCGCTGCTCCCGACGCAGGGAAACCAGTTCTGCAGGGAGACCGACCTCAGCACCTGTGCAGGTGAAGCCAAAGGGCAGATTTGCTTCACCATATTTTCTCGTCTTTGGCTCAGAATGAAGTTGGTTTGGAAACATATTCAGCGACGCTTCATCTCCTGCTTTGCGTTTCTGTGGCCGCCCCGTGCTAGCAGTGGTTTTGTCCCCCCCCCCCTTTTCATACCGCGCCCCCCCTGCAATGGCTCTGCGCCCCCTAGGGGGCGGACCCCACACTTTGAGAAGGTCTGCTTTAAATCAAAATTGATTTAAAGGATTGCAATCCAAAGCCTCTATCCCTGATTTCCTCACATGTCAACAAGGAGCCCCACAACATCCAGAACCCCCCCCACCCCCCACCCGCCCAGCAGCCACCAGACAGGTTTCATTTAATTTTCACTGGGAACAGAAATAAGATTTTAAAAAGGTGTGTGTGAAGGATAGAGTTTAGATTTTAGATCACACAAATACAATATTTAGTAGTTACAGACAGAAGAAGAAGAGGTGAGCTCTAATAATGAGAAAGTTCACAGAAAGGCTCTTTGTGACCAGAATATAAGAAGCAGTAAAACAGCATTTACCTGAAGTGATGAGTGAACAGGTTGCTGCCAGCACTGAAAGAGACAGAAAGAAAGCTCAGTGTCAGACTGTGTGTTTGATATCAAGTTGAATTCACCTCAAAACATGAAACAGAAATGAAAAGCAAACAGGAGAAAGCTGCTGCTTTCATTCACACCTGGATTCTTTGGAAACTCTTTCTAAACAGCAGATTTCAATGACACATTTATTCTCTTCATCTTTCCAACTTTTGTCAATAAACTTATTTGTGTTGACAGTTTGACTTCAACTCTTCAAAGTAAATGATCAGCCATGAATTGCTCTCAGGACTCTGTGAAGCCTAACTGTCCTGCTGAGGTGATGCAAACATGTATTTAGGATGTTAGATGAACTGATCCAATAAAGCAGAAAGAAAAGCATGTCACAGTACAGCACAGTGGAAAGCTAGAAAAGGATTAGACTGAACATGTGCAGCTGATTTCATGTATAAATAAAGGATGATCAGTGTGTTGTACTCACACAGTGTGCTGCTGAGTCCGGAGCAGAGCATCATGTTAGGAGATCTGGATTACAGTGAAGAGCTGATGGAGGATCAAACACAGAGCTGCTGGATTCACTCTGTTTCAGTAACACCTGTGATGTACATGCAAAGCACAGCCAATGGAAAAGCAGAGTATCCTCCTTCTCACGTGCAGGATGTTGGATGTTTGGAATGGAAAAAGTATGAGAAAAAGAAAAAACCAGGATGTGAATAAACAACATGTAAAACAGGGTGCAGCAGGAACACAGCAGGAATATATTTGTATGGAAAATATTCATATTTACATGGAACATCTCCACATGTCTCTCTGGTCAGAGACCACAAACGAGACAGTGTTTGTGATGCTGAGTCAACAGTATTATATTGTAAGTGTTTAAAGAGAGGTTTCCATTGACTGTGACTGTGTGAAGAACTGTTGAAAGTTCCTGAACAACACAACATGCCATTGTATGGCAGCTGCACCATTGTACACTATCTCTACTTTTAACTTTCCTTTTTGCTAAAGCATATAGTTGGGACCAAACACTCCAGGAACAACAAGTAGGCCTGCAGAGCGAGAGCGAAGTGTTCTAATAGGGTGATATGGTACCACAAGGTCATTAAGATAAGATGGGGCCTGATTATTTAAGACCTTGTATGTGAGGAGCAGGATTTTACATTCAATTCTGGATTTAACAGGAAGCCAATTAAGGGAAGCCAATACAGGAGAAATACAGCATTTTGGATTAACTGAAGGCTTTTCAGTTAATCTGCTTCATGCATGGAGAGGGAGACATTGTCTAAGAGTTCTTCTGTCTCCTACTACCTGAACTGGGTCGAGGAACATCCTGGGACAGAGCTTATCCACCCGCTTCCTCTCAGCTGTAGATAAGCTGCTGTTCCCACAAACAACAACATAGAAGATGGCCGACAGCACCAGAGAGTCTAAAAAGGTCTTCAGGAGTTCCCCCTGCACTCCAAAAGATCTCAGTCTCCTCAGCAGGTAGAGTCTGTTCTGACTCCTGACTCAGTGTTGTCTTAAAGACATTCCTGCAATTTAATTGGCTACAAAGAGCTAGGTTGATCTGCATACCCAAGAAGTATGCGATGCCTTGTAACGATACCTTGAAGAAGCATTTAAAATATAAACAGAACTGGTCCCAGCGTGGAACCCTGAGGAACTCCATTATTAACCTGAGAATGTGAAGAAGGCAAATTGGAGTCTGTTAGACAGACATCACTGAAGTCACTGCGGTGCAGAAACTTTAATACCTACTGCATGCTCTGATCTCTGTAGTAAAAGTTCATGGTCATCAGTATTGGTATCAGTATTTTTTCACTCTAATAGTTAAGATTTTATTTGTGAAGAAATTCATGAATTCATTAATAGCTGAGATTAAAGGAATGTTTGGAGCTCTGTTTGTCATCCTGGCTACAGACTCAAGTTTAGGGATGGGTATCGTTTAGGTTTTATCCGATACCAGTGCCAAACCGGTACTTTTGAAACGGTGCCGGTGCTTAAAGAATGGAAAAAACACAAACTTTGTCCAAAAACCTCTCATGTTCAGCTGTTTCCCACTTTTTCTTTTGTCATTTTAGCTTTTTTGGCCAGGGTGAAGGGAGTATCTGCCATCAAACAAGAGGACAGCCGCATGTAGCTATGATGATGTTTGCTAGTTCACCTTACATGCATTAATGTAATAACGTGGTTAGCCTACTCAACGTAAATTACACACGAACAACATGAAGCTACTCACGCAGAGAAGAACGGCTGCTGCTGCATCATCATCCTCATCATTTCTGCTACACTGGCAGGGCTAGGGGCCAGGACTCTCCTCTTCGGGTTCTTGGGGGATGTTGCTAACTCCAGGTCCGATAACAGGCACCACACCCGCAGTAGATGTGCTCGGTGTGAGGTCTGGCAGCAAGCTATCAAATACGGTGCATTTCTCGGCTTTTAAAAAAAACGCTATGCGTCGCCAGGTGTTTCATCAGATTTGAGGTGTTACCTCCTTTGACAGTATCACAGTATCAGCTTAAAGCACTTGTTGCTGCTGAGTTTGCATCTTTTGCTGTGAAGTACAGCAGGACTTTGACCGCTTCGCCTTGGTCATTTTTAATCTGTAGCTCTGCTCTAAAAGAACGTTCGTACCTGGGCCCGCCTACTACGCTCGCAAAGGTAAAATGATTGGCTAGAATCTAAAGTGTCTGACATCTCAGGGGGGAAAAAAGCACCGAAATGTGCGCTGCTTTTCGGTCTGGTTACTACCGTTTATGTCAGAACTGATACCGGGACCCATCCCAACTCAAGTTTGTTCTTATTTTCTTAAAAATCAGTGATGAATAGTGAAATGTTCTAGCTTTACTGAGAGCTTTTTTTAATAGAGTCACTTGGAGTGATTATTTTTCCAGGCTAAATGATGATCTTCTAAATTAGTAAGATGCCATTTCTGGACTTCCTGACCAACCATCCCTTTAACGTTAACTAGTAATGACTTCATGAACTTCTTCACAAATAAAATTTTTATCATTAGAGAAAAAATTACCAGTAATCATCCCACAGATGTAATATTATCTACAGCTACTCTTAGTACCATTGATGTTAAGTTAGACTCTTTTTCTCTAATTGATCTTTCTGAGTTAACTTCAATAATTACTTCCTCCAAACCATCAACGTGTCTTTTAGACCCCATTCCTACAAAACTGCTCAAAGAAGTCCTGCCATTAATTAATGCTTCGATCTTAAATATGATCAACCTATCTCTAATAATCGGCTATGTACCACAGGCCTTCAAGCTGGCTGTAGTTAAACCTTTACTCAAAAAGCATCTCTAGACCCAGCAGTCTTAGCTAATTATAGGCCAATCTCCAACCTTCCTTTCATATCAAACATCCTTGAAAGAGTAGTTGTCAAACAGCTAACAGATCATCTGCAGAGGTTTATTTGAAGAGTTTCAGTCAGGTTTCAGAGCTCAGCACAGAAACAGCTTTAGTGAAGGTTACAAATGATCTTCTTATGGCCTCTGACAGTGGACTCATCTCTGTGCTTGTCCTGCTAGACCTCAGTGCAGCGTTCGATACTGTCGACCATAATATCCTATTAGAGCGATTAGAACATGCTGTAGGTATTACAGGTACTGCACTGCAGTGGTTTGTATCATATCTATCTAATAGACTCCAGTTTGTGCATGTAAATGGAGAGTCCTCTTCACACACTGAGGTTAATTATGGAGTTCCACAGGGTTCAGTGCTAGGACCAATTCTGTTTACATTATACATGCTTCCCTTAGGCAGCATCATTAGAAGACATAGCATACATTTACACTGCTATGCAGATGACACCAGCTCTATCTGTCCATGAAGCCAGATAACACACACCAATGAGTTAAACTGCAGGAATGTCCTAAAGACATAAAGACCTGGATGGCCGCTAACTTTCTGCTTCTTAATTCAGATCAAACTGAGGTTATTGTACTCGGCCCTGAACATCTTAGAAATATGGTATCTAAGCAGATTCTTACTCTGGATGGCATTACCTTGGCCTCCAGTAACACTGTGAGGAACCTTGGAGTCATTTTTGACCAGGACATGTCCTTCAACGCACATATTAAACAAATATGTAAGACTGCGTTCTTCCATTTGTGCAACATCTCTAAAGTTAGAAATATCCTGTCTCAGAGTGACGCTGAAAAACTAGTTCATGCATTTATTACTTCCAGGCTGGACGACTGTAATTCATTATTATCAGGAAGTCCTAAAAACTCCCTGAAAAGCCTTCAGCTAATCCAAAATGCTGCAGCAAGAGTCCTGACAGGGACTAGAAAGAGAGAGCATATTTCTCCTGTTTTGGCTTCCCTTCATTGGCTTCCTGTTAAATCCAGAATTGAATTCAAAATCCTGCTCCTCACATACAAGCTCTTAAATAATCAGGCCCCATCTTATCTCAATGACCTTGTAGTACCATATCACCCTATTAGAGCACTTCGCTCTCGCTCTGCAGGCCTACTTGTTGTTCCTAGAGTATTTAAAAGTAGAATGGGAGGCAGAGCCTTCAGTTTTCAGGCCCCTCTTCTGTGGAACCAGCTTCCAGTTTGGATTCAGGAGACAGACACTATCTCTACTTTTAAGATTAGGCTTCAAACTTTCCTTTTTGCTAAAGCATATAGTTAGGGCTGGACCAGGTGACCCTGAATCCTCCCTTAGTTATGCTGCAATAGGCGTAGGCTGCCGGGGGATTCCCATGATGCATTGAGTTTTTCCTTTCCAGTCACCTTCCTCACTCACTATGTGTTAACAGACCTCTCTGCATTGAATCATATCTGTTATTAACCTCTGTCTCTCTTCCACAGCATGTCTTTATCCTGTCTTCCTTCTCTCACCCCAACCAATCACAGCAGATGGCCCCGCCCCTCCCTGAGCCTGGTTCTGCCGGAGGTTTCTTCCTGTTAAAAGGGAGTTTTTCCTTCCCACTGTCGCCAATGTGCTTGCTCATAGGGGGTCATATGATTCTTGGGATTTTCTCTTTTTACCATAGGATCTACTTTACAATATAAATTGCCTTGAGACGACTGCTGTTGTGATTTGGCGCTGTATAAATAAAATGTATTCAAACTCAACTGAATTGAAAGCTGAAGGCTCTGCTTCCCATTGTATGGAGCAATCACATGTGAACCAGCAGTCTGAGAGCGAAGTGCTCTATTTGTCATACGGCACTGTAAGGTCATTAGGATAAGATGGGGCCAGATTATTCAGGACCCACAAAGTCACTTGGAGGGATTATTTTTCCTGGTTAAATGATGATCTTCTAAATGAGTGAGATGCCATTTCCTGTGCAGCTTTTTCCAAGACTCCTTTTAGTTGTCGTGCAATGTTTAAATCCTGTGATCTACATGCAAACCCATTGCCAGCTGACGGTAATAGACAGGGTGCGGCAGGAGTACAGCTGGGAACACATTTATATGGAAAATATTCTGATTTGCATTGAAAATCTTTGTTCTAACTCACAAAGGTGAAAGTGTTTCGGTCCATGGGTCGAAAGGTGACCTTCCTGAGTGCAAACATATGCAAACATCTGTTAAAGAGTGGACTCAGGCGCGGAGCTCAGAAATAAAGACAGTGCGTTTATTTACAGTGCAGCAAGG